TCCTCCTCCTCCTCCTCCTCCTCCTCTCCTTCTCCCTCCCCCTCTCCCTCTCCTCCTTCTTCTGTCTCCTTCTCCTTCTCCTTCTTTTTCTTCTTCTATTACTACTACTTCTCCTCCTCCTCCTCTTCTTCTACTCCTCCTCCTATTACTACTACTTCTCCTCCTCCTCCTCCTTTCTTTTTCAATTCTCATCTCTTCATTTGAACTGAAGAAGTTCTGAACAGTACCAAAGAAGCTTCTGGGATGGAGAAGTGAAATGTTTTCAAAGAAAAGGGGGGGAAAATGCACACACCCAAGAAAGTCCAAAAGTTGCCTTTTGGGGGAAGTCAAAAAGAAAAAAAGAAAGAAAAAAAAAGCACCTTTGGGGAGATTGAACTAACCCCGTCTACCCACCCAACCTGCCAACCGCCAAGAGGTGCACTTACTTGAAGAGTAGGGCCCTTCTGGGGGGCTGGAGGCATACCACTCCCCATTCCTGAAGCTCTCCTGGGGGTAGGCAGGCAGTTCGGCTGGGCTGGCGAAGGACCCCGGGTAGCATCCCAGCATGGGGTTCTGGGAGAGGCAGTGGGCCAGGGAGAAGCGAGAGCCCACCAGAGCAGGCTGGCGAGTCCCTGGCATCCCCTGGCTGAAGTCTTCCAAGGTCTCCGTGGCGAAGCCCCTGAGATCCTCCATGGAAAGGACCCAAAGTGGGGTTGGCAGCAGCTTCAGGGCTGGAGTTCCTTTCTCTCCGGGGCTTTCAACAGAGGCAGGCAGAGCTTCCTGCCCACAATCTGCCTTTTTATCTTAAGTCTGCACCTTATCAAAGATTAAGGACTCCACCTCCCACCCTGGAGGTGGGGTAAGGTGAGGTGGAGATGTGGGGAAGGGGGCGGGGGGGGGGAGAAGAAGGAAGGAACCTCCCCTACTTTTGACAACGCTTCATCAAACAAGAGCCCAGCCAACTTAATGGAAGCCGCCAGCAAGTTGGACCTCCAAGTTACAGATAACCGATAATCAGAGTTGGAAGGGACCTTATAGGTCATCTAGTCCAACCCCCCGCCCAAGCGGGAGACCCTACACCGTTTTTGACAGAGGGCAGTCCAATGTCTTCTTGAAAGCTTCCAGGGATGAAGTTCCCACAACTTCTGAGGGCAACTTCTATTCCATGGGTTGATTGTTTTCCCTGTTGTAAAGTTTCTCCTTATTTCCAGGTTTCCACCCATTATTTCTTGTCTGGCCTACGGGTGCTTTGGAGAATAGCTTGACCCCCTTCCTCCTCCCTGTGGCAGCCCCTCAAATATTGGAAGATGCTCTCCTGTCTCCCCTGGTCTTTCTCTTCCCTAGACTAGCCAGGCCCAGTTCCTGCAACCTTTCTTCATATGTCCCCTAATCATCCTGGTTGCTCTTCTCTGTACTTTTTCTAGAGTCTCAACATCTTTTTTGTAGTGTGGTGATCAAAACTGGGTGCACTACTCTAGGTGTGGCCTTACTAAGGCTTTATAGAGTGGTATTAGTACCTCCCTTGATCTCGATTGTATCCCTCTGTTAATACAATTTAGGACTGCATTGGTTTTTTTGGCTGCTGCCGCACACGGCTGGCTCCTATTTAGCTGGCTGTCCACTAAGACTCCAAGATCCCTCTCCCAGTTCCTGCTATGAAGAAATCTGGTTTCACCCAGTCTACATGGGTACTTTTGGTTTTTCTTGCCTAAGTGTAGGACTTTACTTTTGTCTACGTTGAATTTCATTTTGTTAGATACAGCCCAGGTTAAGTACAGGTAGTCCCTCTAATGTACAAACAGTTCATTTAGCGACCATTCGAAGTCGCAATGGCCCTGGAAAAAAGGGACTTAGGGCCGTTCCTCATACTTACGATCCACGGTCGTGTGATCGAAATTTGGATGCCACCGGCCACTGACTCGTATTTATGACGGTTGCAGTGTCCCGAGGATCACGCCATCCGATTCTGCGACCTTCCAACGAGCCAAGTCCATGGGGGAAGCCAGGTTCGCTTAACAACCGGGTTACGAAATTAACAACTACATTTGATTCACTTAACGACTGTGGCAAGAATGGTCGTAAAGTGGAGGGGGAAAAAACTCACTGGACTAATCATGTCTTATTTAGCAACAGAGATGTTGGCTCAATTGTAGTCATGAATCCAGGATTATTTGTATAGCCAGGCAAGGTGTTGGAGAGCTTCAGCTTCTTTTTAAAAAAACAAACAACACTCAAGTTTCTAGTCCTTTCTGTCTGCCCTTAAGTCACAATGTAGTTCAATTGGCGGGGTTTCCACCCCGCCAAAAAACTTGGCAACTTGGAAGATGGGTGGACTTCAACTCCCAGAATTCCCCAGCCAGCTGTGCTGTTCTGTGCTGGCTGGGGAATTCTGGGAGTTGAAGTCTTCAAAGTTGCCATGGTTGATAAACACGGCAATACAAAATGCAATCCCGTTTCCAAAAAAAAAATAAAAAAATTCAAATTAAATCTTGTGCCAGAAAACTCTGATCTCAAATGAAATATTTATTGACCACTTGAAGTATTGATGTGCCCAGTGCCATGGGATGGACAGTCACTGTTAGTAGAAACCACCAGAGAGCACAATTCCACTTAGCACAAATCCTGCAGCCTTAAACGGCGCTTGAAGTCTGCTCAGAACTTGCGAGTTCTCTGAACTTGATATGAAACCCGGCTGCTTGCCTGGTTCAGTTCATTTACTTTCACCACGGAATCTGTGTTTTGCAACTTCTAGGCTGATTGACAGAGAAGGGAAGGGCTGAGTAAGGAGTGAGTAAGCTGGAACATTGCAAGAATAGACCAAACTCGATTTTGAAAAAAAATCACATTTCGAGAATCCTAGTTACAAGCGATGGGTACGGCGCATTTTTTCCTTGCCCACTAGGGGGCAGTAGAAATCAACATTGCCTTCCATCCTGGACCTACGACCAAAATTCGGACCGTACTAAGCACGTGGCCATAAACCCAAATGTCTTATGGTTGCATCATTGAGCCAGAGCAATCGTGGAGTCCTGGTGACCGTCGTAACTCCAGGCACCCCGGTCATTTAGTGGGAATCCTAGATAAGGTGGTAATCCCGTCCCTCTCTCCCTCTCTCTTTCTCTCTCTCTCCCTCTCTCTCCCTCCCTCCCTCCCTTTCTCTCTCTCTCCCTCTCTCTCCCTCCCTCCCTCCCTTTCTCTCTCTCTC